TTTCTTTAAGAATATTCTGAAGATTAAATGTCCTTGGTTAGCAAATTTATTTTGTTTTAATTTTGGTGAAATTGGGAGAGGGGGGACTTATGCTTTCATGAACATCTTCTTTAGTTCAATAAAAAACTGGACTTGGGGCTAATTGGAATGGGGATCAAGCCAAACAGTGTTCATTTTCTAAATTTTGTTAAAAAACTGAACAGCATGAGGGAAACAAGGGACAAGAATGGTTCCTTTCCTCTTCTCCGGACCCTAGCACCCCTCTGTGTGCTGTTACCTGGTCCCGCTTCTTCGATGAGATAGTGTCTTTCCCTAGCCCAGAGACCTTTTCTGGTTCGGCACTTCTATAGCTATCAGTCAATTGCTCTGTTGTATCACTGTTTGGACAAAAAATGCCAATCACGTCCATATTCTTAAGTTAATTTTCATTCTTATCCACGCTATTTGGGGCTGTCCCACCTCTCTTTCTGTGAATCTCTTTATCTCCGTGACCAGATCCTAAATTCAACTCCCCAATAGAAAATCACATATTTTGTATCTGCCATTAACCAGCTGCCTTAGCCACCCCTTGCCCTTGCAATGAGGTCTTCATGTTGCTACTCATGGGATAGGTTAAGAAAAGTACTGAAAAGAACTGGAATCTATCTCCATCATGGTGTTGTTTCTTTTAATGTTAGCAGTTTGTAAATATATATATATATAACTTATCAGCTGCTCCTCCTTTCCTCAAAGTATAAGCCCTATAAAATTTGGGAAATGTGTTTTGTTGACCAAAGTATGCTTGATGCTGTCCAGAGTAAACATGCTGAATGAATCTCTATGGAATTTAGGAGTGAATGTAGAGGAAGAGGAACTTATTTAGGAAGGATTTTCACTCGCTCTAAAGAAGTGAAATGAAAGCAGACTTTGGTGGGTTTTGTCTAACTGTGGGCAAATTGGTATGGACTGAGAAATTCAATTAACTGTATCCATCAATTTTTGTCTTTGGGGAAGAGTCATGAGACTAAGACCCAGAATTCTTGGTCCCACCCCTTTTGTGGCATTAAAAAAAGCCCAAACTTGGCATATTATACTAACCAGATTTTTTTCTTTGTCTCAAAAAGGCTCAGCTGAACACTAGATTCTTCACCCAGTGCAACAATCAAAAACTCAGAAAACCTCAGCTGCCTCAGATGATGTCACAAAACCTTTAAGAATGCTCACTGCTGAGTTGGGCACAGGTCCAGCAAACACAATTCTTTCTGCCAGTTATTCAGGGTCTTTGACAGATTAGGTGGTCTTTTTTATTCTTCTTCATCTTGTTTTTTTTTTTTCCATCCTCTTAAAAGGCAGTTCAGTTTACCTCTAAGCAAGACATTAGCTCTGGCTACCCCAAATAACATTTTAATTGAAGTCTCAGTCCAAACAAATGCCCGGCCTCTTTATTAACCCCAACAGTGTAATTTTTCAACCTAAGGCTGATTCAGGGGGAAACTGTCTCACTTAAACTGCCATGCAATGGAACATGGCAGTTTTCCTCAATCAGTCTCTTTTCTGACCTTAATTTGAACCTTAATCTCTTTTAACCATGTTCTCTTTATTAGCTGCTCATAGCCGTGGCACAATACTAATTTTCCTGTTTTTAGACTATCAGTTTACAAAGGTATTTCACTCCTCCTTCTACCGCCAAATGTAACCATTAAGGTTTCATGAACATTTCTGAGAGAAAAAAGTTAATACTTCTTCTTGCTTTTTGTTGTTGTTGTTGTTCTTGTTTTGGTTTGGTAATTTAAATAGCTGCTTTGCAAAATGTTCTGTAGAGTTTTAGATGGTTTATTCCTGAGGTATATAATATTTATGTACCAAAACCCCTATATATTTAATTGTCATAAAAACCTAAATAATCATTTAAGATGATTACAAAGGATTTTTTTTTATCAACAGACAGACCCACACCTATAAAATAAAGTAGAAAACTAAGGGCATTATCTGAATAATTCAGGCGAAAATAATGTATTTTCATTAGAAACCTCATCTTTTAGGAGAGACCTGTATTATCCAAATAATTGCCTCAATTCCTCTTCTTAATTTTTATACTTAAATAAAAACTGAGTAAAGACAGGAAAAAATATTTTTTTTTCTTAATTATACCTTCCCATTTTTCACATTGGTCAAATGATCCAAAGTGAAAAGAAAAAAAGCACCCTTTTCAATAACAATGAAAAAAAAGTGTTTCTTTATTTGGAATCTACTTTAATACAGCAAAACTATGTAAGTAGAAAAATAGTGCTTATGATCATGTGCTCAATTAAATTTATAATAGGTTTTTGTACTTTTTGGCATTAGCCTGAAAGCATATTGGTTATTATTCTTTATAATCTAATTGGGGGCTTTGTATCTAGTTACCCCCTCCATTCTCTGCTTAATACAATAGTTTGTTGATTGCAAAAATTACATTTCTGTGACTTTAAGGTCCTAGAACTAGGATTGTCATTGAAAGTTGGAGATTCAGCTCGGTGTTTGGGGCAGGGACCATGTGCCCCCTCTGTGTGAGGAGGTAGGCAGCTGGGAACAATTGTCTGTTCCCTGCGGTGTTCAGTGGCATTAGCAGCATGTTGGCATGGTAAACTTTGCCTTCCTTTCACTGGCTCAAACAATTAGTGGGATTGAATCAGAGTTCTCCTGGATCATAGTTTATTATATGTTATTAAATTCCATTATTCAAGAAGTTGCTGCTATGATGATAAAAACTTCTCAGCATCTCCCACAAAACCTCCATCTCCTTTCCCATGTATTTTCTTTTCAGTTTATCATTTGCTTCTCTGATAGACAAGGTGTCTTTTTATTTCCTGTTGGTACTTATTTAAAGAGCTAAGAGCTAATTTGAAAATACATCTTTCAAAGGACAACAAAAATGAGATGTGAAAAAAATGGATGAAGATTCTTAATTAGTCCATTATTTGACACGCACGATTTAACATGGTATGCTTAGCATTGTGCATTCCCCAAAAGAACAAGGCTCTTTTTTTATCCCAAACTTTAACTCCCTCTCATTCATTATATCCCTTCTTGTCACTTTCCATTAGCTGATCATGACATCCTTTGCTGGAAGGGTGAGCAAGCAGATTACTTCCAAACTGGTGTAAGTGACACTCAAAAGACTGGCCTAAAGGAGCTTCTGTGATAGCAGCAAGCTCCTCGGGCCCTGGAGTTGGAGAATGTCACTTCAATAATATATTGGAGTCCATTGTCACATCATTTCTGCAGCAACTTGGCAACCATCCAGGAGTGGCAGGAATGGGTCTTTTGCTGCAACTCATGGGTGATAGTATCTAATGTTATTACTGTTGCTGATAATAATAACAACAACAACAACAACAATTTATATTGCCAGTCCAATCCTCCTAGCATCTTGCATTTTACAGATGAGGAAACTGAGGATCAAAGAGGTGAAATAAATTGTCCATGGTCACACAGCTGATAAGCAACAGAGCTAAGGGTTTAAGTGAGGTCTGGTGGATTCCAAACTCACATCTGTTCCTATTAGAGCAGCATGCTGACTTCTGGAAGACTTCAGCACATCTCCCTAAATCTGAAAGGGAAAGAAATGATCAAAAGACTAGTCGTTTTGGTGCAAGTGTCACCAGGCAATTCTAAATGTGGCAGAAGATGATGGAATGAGACAGTCACGATCAAATACACATAGATAGATTGTGCTAACTAAGAAAAGAAGTGGAGAATCTGATGCTCTGATCAGATCAGTCCTGGAGAAATGAACCGTTCCTCATCCTGGCCCCCCACAATCCCTCCCCTACTCCCAATTGTCTGACCTGGGGAACAGATCCTCGGCCTTGGAATGGGATTGACAAGGAAAGAGACAGCAGCAGACTCTGTTCTGAACAGCACCAGCACTAATCCTAGGTACTATTCAGATCCTGACACCAACCTCTGGCCTTATATGGTTTTCTGCTCCTAAGAAAACCAAATTTTCTTCATTCATGAAGTTTCTGTTTCTTTTTTCCATTAAGCAAGTTTAGTTTCCCAGTAACCTTTGAAAAGTTCTGATTATAAAATAGGGAATATGGAAATACAGAGTAATACATTGGATAAAATAAAAGTCACCTGTTATTCTATTACCAGGAGAAAGCAGCCTATGGTGTATATCTTTCTAGTCTTGGGTTCTACATACATATGCTGGACAGTAAAATGTGGTGGTTATAGGGATAAACTCTGAAATCAGACTATCTGTATTTAAATCTAAACACTCCTCTAGCAGTATGACCTAACCTCTCTGGCCTCCAGTTTTCTCATATGCACTGTACTTTCCTCCTATAATTGTTGTGACACTCAATGATCTAATGGATATAAAGTAGCTAGGCCATGGGAATCCCTTATTGCACGTTAGCTACTGTTCCTTGTGTTTTGGTCCAGTGTTCTTGTCTTGATCGCTATTTCTGACTGTGCCCCAGCCTCCTTGATTCGAAGACCATGGATAACTTCATCCTCAGTGGTGATTCTTTTCCTTCTCAATGCATTTGGTTTGATCAGCCCTCCCCTGACACTGCATCAGTGACTTTTCAGGTCTCAATTCCTACCCATTTAAATGTAACTCTTAATGAAGCATTGACAGCATCTTACCGTATTTTTGTTCCTGTCTGCTGGACATATTTCTGCCTGGATGCCCTGCTTACTCAGCCTGGCACTAAGGCAAAACCTAAGCAGCCTTTCTTGTTCTCATCTGTCTTGAGCTCCTTGAGGTTAGTGCAGATGGAGGCAAGATCAGGAGTTTGTGATCGCAGAGACACCAGCAGTATCAATCCCCAATCTTGGGCCTCTGGAATGTCAGTGACAAACTAGGTTCCAAGTTTATATAGGCAACATAAAGGCAAGTTTATTTGTTTAAACCATTTTAAAAGTGAAAAAGAAGGTAATTATGAAGGATATTTCTTTATTATTTTCTTTAAAAATCCTCTGTTGGTAAGCTTATCTCTCAGAGACCTTTTCACCACTTAGTAAAAAATATCTGTCTATCTATCTATCTATCTATCTATCTATCTATCTATCTATCTATCATCTGTCTATCTATCTACTTATGTATCTAATTTTTTAAAATGGGAAACTATGTGTGATGGGTGATTGGATGTCAGCAACAGTAATCGGGGTTGGGGGGCAGGGTGAATTACATTTAATGAAGCTGGAAGTTCACATGGACCTTTCAGACTTAAAAAAAAAAATGTTGATTTTACATGCCAAAGTCTTGAAAGGGGCTTGACGGCTCACGGCTTTAGTGTGTTTTTCCAGATGGCAGATGCCATTTTGTGTTTTGCATAAACTGACTAAATTTGCTTGCTCTTTGTACTTATTTCAGAGAGAACCATTCTCTGCTTTCAATAGGACAGAAGAGCTCCTTGGCACTGCATGCCTCCGGGTCTGGTTGAGAGAGGAATGGTTAGGAGACTGTTCTGAGGATACGCAGACATCATCCAAAGCTTCCTACATTCAGATGAGGACAGAGGTTGGGCCAGAGCATGGCATGCTTGTTACCTAAGGACGGTTCTGACGATGTGAGCAAATTACAGAAGGTAAGCCATGCTGAAGAACTTACAATAGTTATATTTCCAGTTTGTCCATTTTTATCTCCATGGATGACAAATAGGTTCATGATGCTCTTATTTCAATTACTTTATGGCTAGTTGTGTGATCCTGTAACTTAATTTCTCTGTGCCTCAATTTTACCTGAAAAAAAGAGAAAGATAATAGGACTTAGCTCTTAGGGTCACTGTTGAACTTTTCAAAAAACCAGCTCCTGGATTCATTGATTTTTTGGAGAGTTTTTTGTGTCTCTATCTCCTTCAGTTCTGCTCTGATCTTAGTTATTTCTTGCCTTCTGCTAGCTTTCGAATGTGTTTGCTCTTGCTTCTCTAGTTCTTTTAATTGTGATGTTAGGATGTCAATGCTAGATCTTTCTAGCTTTCTCTTGTGGGCATTTAGTGCTATAAATTTCCCTCTACACACTGCTTTAAATGTGTCCCAGAGATTCTAGTATGTTGTATCTTTGTTCTCATTGGTTTCAAAGAACATCTTTATTTCTGCCTTCATTTCGTTATGTACCCAGTAGTCATTCAGGAGCAGGTTGTTCCATTTCCATGTAGTTGAGCGGTTTTGATTGATTTTCTTAGTCCTGAGTTCTAGTTTGATTACACTGTGATCTGCGAGACAGTTTGTTATAATTTCTGTTCTTTTACATTTGCTGAGGAGTGCTTTACTTCCAACTGTGTGATCAATTTTGGAATAACCTAGAATTTCATATCCAGCCAAACTAAGTTTCATAAGTGAAGGAGAAATAAAATCCTTTACAGATAAGCAAATGCTTAGAGATTTTATCACCACCAGGCCTGCCCTACAAGAGACCCTGAAGGAAGCACTAAACATGGACAGGAACAACCGGTACCAGCCATTGCAAAAACATGCCAAAATGTAAAGACCATCGATGCTAGGAAGAAACTACATCAACTAACAAGCAAAATAACCAGTTAATATCACAATGACAGGATCAAGTTCACACATAACAATATTAACCTTAAATGTAAATGGACTAAATGGTCCAATTAAAAGACTCATACTGGAAAATTGGATAAAGAGTCAAGACCCATCAGTTTGCTGTATTCAGGAGACCCATCTCACATGCAGAGACACACATAGGCTCAAAATAAAGGGGTGGAGGAAGATCTACCAAGCAAATGGAGAACAAAAAAAAGCAGGGGTTGCAATCCTAGTCTCTGATAAAACAGACTTTAAACCATCGAAGATCAAAAGAGACAAAGAAGGCCATTACATAATGGTAAAGGGATCAATTCAACAGGAAGAGCTAACTATCTTAAATATGTATGCACTTTATGAGCACCCACATTCATAAAGCAAGTCCTTAGAGACATACAAAGAGACTTAGACTCCCATACAGTGATAATGGGAGACTTCAACTCCCCACTGTCAACATTAGACAGATCAACGAGACAGAAAGTTAACAAGGATATCCAGGAATTGAACTCAGCTCTGCACCAAGTGGAACTAATAGACATCTACAGAACTCTCCACCCCAAATCAACAGAATATACATTCTTCTCAGCACCACATCGCTCTTAGGGTCATTGTGAAGATTCCATGAGTTAGTCCAGTCGAAGGCTTTAGAATAGTGCCTGACATAAAATAAGTGCTCAAGAAATGTTGGTAATTATTATTGCTATGATTCATTTCCACAAGAATTTGCAATTTTTTCTTCTCTTCTGCTGATTGACTTTGTCTAACTCCCATCATAATTATGCAAACTCTTTGGGTCATTTTTATGGAAATAGACTGGAAATGGAGTGGTTAAGTTACAGGCTTTCTAGTCAAATAGAGTCAAGTTGAAGTTCCCAAGGCAGTATTTAAGAGCCATATCTTCTTGACTTACTTTCTCCAAGCCTCAGTTTCTTAATCTACAAAATAAGAAGGATGAAAAATCATTCTACTATAAAAACACATGCACACGTATGTTTATTGCAGCACTGTTCACAATAGCAAAGACTTGGAACCAACTCAAATGCCCATAATGATAACCTGGATAAAGAAAATGTGGCACATATACACCATGGAATACTATGCAGCCATAAAAGGATAAGTTCATGTCCTTTGCAGGGACATAGATGAAGCTGGAAACCATCATTCTCAGCAAACTAACACAAGAACAGTAAACCAAATACCGCATGTTCTCACTCATAAGTGGGAGGAGAACAATGAGAACACGTGGACGCAGAGAGGGGAACATCACACACCGGGGCCTGTCAGGTGGTGGGGGGTGGGGGGGATAGCATTAGGAGAAACACCTAATGTAGATGACAAGTTGATGGGTGCAGCAAACCACCTGGTATGTGTATACCTATGTAACAAACCTGCACTTTCTGCACATGTATCCCAGAACTTAAAGTATAATAAAATAATTTTTTAAAAGGATGATAATAATAGTTGCCTCTTAACACTTTAAGAGTATTAAATGGGACAATACTTGCACAATATCTGACAAGCATATAAAGAGTATAAAAAATATAATGTATTGGTATTATTTTTGCTGCCCCAAATATACAAAACAGTGCTCGTATTCTCAAAAGTGCTTCTAGAAGCTTGTCAAGTTTCCAGGACTCTAATGTCATGTCAATATTCCACCAGAAAAGAGGAAAAAATCCACAGAAATAGAAAGGTGCTGGATGCTGTGACTTTACTAGGACCCTTTGCCAAATAATGAAGTGAAATTGAGAGGGTTGAGTCTTGCTCAACATAGATTTAATTCAAGTCAGAAAACTCAAATTTCTTTTTAAAAATTGAAATTGTATATTTTTAAGATGTGCAGTGTGAGGTTTTGATATACATATACATAGTGAGTTGATTTTAAAATCAAGGTAATTAATATATGCATGTCTTCACATAGTTACCTTTTTTGTGCGTAGTGAGAACACTTAAGATCTACTCTCTTAGCAAATTTCAAGTATACAATACAGTATTATAAACTACAGTCCCCGTGTTATACATTAGGTCTCTAGAACTTTTTCATCCTGCATAACTGAAACTTTGTATCTTTTGACCAACATCCCTCCATTTCCCTTACCTCTTTGTCCCCAAGAACGGCTACTCTACTCTGCCTCTATCAATTCAACTCTTTTAGATTCCCCATGTAAGTGAGATCATCTAATATTTTTCCTTCTGTGCTTGACTAACATAATGTTCTCCAAGTTCATCTATGTTGTCACAAATGACAGGATTTCCTTCCTCTTAAAGGCTAAATAGTATTCCAATATATACATACATATATATGCATGTATGCATACATACATATGCATATATACAAATATGTATATATGTGCATATATATGTATGTGTATATATGTGTAAATATCACACAATTTATTTATCTGTCAATAGGCAATTAGGTTTTTTCTATATCCTGGTTATTGTGAATAATGCTGTCATGAACATGGGAGTGTAGGTATCTCTTTGAGATGCTGATTTTATTTTCTTGGATATATACCAGTAGGAGAATTGCTGGATTATATTGAAGGTTTATTTTTAGTTCTTTGAAGAACCTCCATTTTGGAAAACTCAAATTTCTGAGCAGACTGATCCTGGACTCAACGTGGGGAATACTTTGAAAGGGTAGGAACTAAAGCCTTATTCTTCTCTCCTAAACCAAAAAGTAAAGTGTAGGGTGAGGTAGCTTGTAGGGAAGAAATAGTTATTTGTGCTGGTTGCTTCTTATGGGGGATGTGGCATTTGCATATGGTAAAATACTCAAATCTCACATTTAAAAAATGTGTATTTCTTTCCCCAAACTAAAAATGGATAGGAGTTACATCTGTAAAGGAAAAAAACTGTCTAAATATTATAATTGTGTTGTTAAAGAGTTGAAAATGATTTCAATCACATTTGCCATTCTCATCCAGCAGTAACAAGTGGTCCCTATTAATAATTGAATAAAGAGAAAATAACTCAACACTGGAAACTTTTACCCCAAAGCCAGCATGAAACCTGAAAAACTGAAGAACTTGGATCATGGAAACATAAAAAACATCAACAGTCTTGCAAATATCTTATTTGCCACGTAGATTTGTTTTGACATCTCCCTTCCAATGCCTATCACTCCTAACAGTCAGAATCAGATGGTATTTGAGTTGCAGGAAAAAGTACTAAAGTAACTTCCTCCCACAAGATGACAGCCCCATCTTTTTCTCTCCACCTCATGCTTAGAAATTACTCAGAGTAGAGAGTAGGACGCTATGGTTAATTATTATTAGCAGTAAAATAAAAGAGAAAAGCAAGCAAGATCAAATAAGAGATGAAAGGGAAAGTGCATGCCAAAAGAAAAAGGAAGAGAAGTTGGAAAGAACAGGAGGAAGCTGTATTATTAAAGTGGGGAAAATAAATTACATGGCAGCAAAAAAGAAACAAAAAGAAAACTTCAGAGTCCAATGCAGAAATGGCTAGCTGACCAATGAAGATTTATCCTCCTCTCTTTCCACAGTGTAGAGTTCCTTCTAGGAAGCAATTGCTCAGCCAGAGAGACAATCTCTCTCTCTCAGTCACTCTCTCTCTCTCTCCTTTCCCTCTCTTCATCTTCTGGCTGGATAATGCCAGGATAACCCTGATGCCAGAAGATGTAGAACCATAACATGAAAGAAATCTGGATCCCTGAATCCCTTTTCAGAGGAATATCCAGATTAGACTTTTTGTGAGTAAGAAATAAACTTTTAGATGTTAAGCCATTGAGCTTTTGGGGATTGTTTGTTATGGCAGTGAGCATTACTTTCCCTGACTAATACAGAAGTTGATATCAAAAGGGAGCTCTAGAAGTAGATGCTTGTCCTTTTTATCTTTGCTCAAAAACCAGTTAATTATTTCCTGGTAGCCTCTTATTGTTTTATTGTGTTCCCAAAAGCAGTCAATAGCAACCAACACGTGTTATTTTTCACCTACAAGCTCAAGAGTCATGTGGTCTTTCAGGTTACCAAACGTAACAATGTTGCCAAGTGTTTTTCCACTCCATGATATGGATCTC